CCCCCCCCCCCCGAAAAAAAATCTAACCGCGAGTTTGGCGATCAAATTTGAGCGTAAATATTATCATGCAATTCAGTCGGACTTGTTTGATTCAAGCAATCAGTTACAGCATATTAAAACCCATTAGTGATATGTCCTGTCCTTAATGAAGCGTGCGCTATTTTTGTTAATTGACTATACTGTATCACCGTAAGGGTATGCACACCCAGAACTGGTGGTATCCACATTGCACTCATAGAACTTTATCGTTCGGTGACGGAGTCAGAAAATGAGCAAAAGAACAGTAAATGGGTGGCGGCGTTTCAGTGGCGGGGTTGTCACAAAGGGTGCCTGGTGGCCCCTAGTTCAAACCCCACCGCCAACAACGCCCAAATTTCCAGTATCTGTTTCTCCCCAGTCAAGTCAAATCAAGTCAAGTCAAGTAAAGCTTAATGCACCCAACAGGATGAATGTTCAGCACTTTCACCAGTTGCAGTGAGGAAGACGTTAAGCATCGTAAAAAGAAGAAAATCTGCATTTACTAAATGAAAAACAAACATATTAGATAAAATCCTAATGTGATAGATGATTATTCAAGTCAATAATAATATTTGCTCGGTTGACCAAGATACAAGCAAAATAAGGGATCGCTCTGTTTTTATATGTGGTGATGCGTGTACAGAGAATCCTGAATTTGGAACGCCTACTCGGATGAGACACTGATTTATTGAGATGAACATGCAGGCAGTGTTCTTCATTTGACAGTATATGGTTGATAAATCGATCGCATGAACCAAAATACTTGCTCACAGTAAATAAAGTCAAGCAAACGGTCTTTGAAATGTCACTGCAACGGAAAAGAAGTTTAAGAGGTCTGGAAAAGAGAATAAGGTCTTTCTCACTTAGACCAGGAAAATACACGAGGAAACAGTACAACCAATGTGGAAGAGTGTATCCAGTCACAAATTTCAGAATTACATTTAGGGGAGCGCCTAGTTTTGAAGACTTAAAGCGTGGAAGGGTAGTCTACGAACCACAATATAAATGTTTTCAACATGTTTGGACCAAGACAGATTATGTGACAAACTAACTCCAAGATATTTCACATAATTAGCTTACGGGATGGTATTACCGTTAACAGAAAGTTCAGGCTGATTACTCAAAACGGTTTGATAATGTGAGCCCGTTTTAAGGCTATCTAAAAGATAATAATCCACATCGATGATTAAAGATCGGGTAGTCGACCAAATAAAAGTGTTATTTAGACAAACTCAAAGTTGACAAGCAGCCTTCTTATGGTAATGGCCTCCTTCCTGAAAGTTGTATTGTCTATTTCTGTAATCAGTAAAAAGGATATAGAAAAATTATATAAAACAATTTACAACCACACTCGTACGAATTACCAGGCACAGTTAGTAGCAAATGATGCTTCTTTCGATTTCGTTTTCTGTCTCCGATATGACATTTACTCAACATATTAATTACTACTGAGGGCTCAGCTGGAAAATAGTCGCTATTTTATTATTAATATGGTTCACCGACAGATGACACGTGTCAGGATGATCAATGAAAAGTCCCTTGAAAGGAGTGTTTCTGTAACACAACACATTTCTTAGATTTCACTCATTACGAGCCGTACCGGTTGGCTTGCAAACAAGTATGCGCACCCGGGGCTGTGTTCGGTCGCATCACAAGGCCAAATGGGCATGATTGTTTGACCTGATAGTATGTTTGTTGATTCAGTTTGTCAAGAATCGGACAAAGTTTAGACAATCCATTAGCCCCTGGGTGGCGTGGGTACAAAGAGCGACCACTTAGATGAATCCACAACTGATGAAATTGCGACAGAGTGACCTCGTTCGAATTCTGATTGAATTAGCCGTTTGAAACGAGTTAAATTTAAGAAACTGACTGTTGTTCTATGTACAAATATGGTTTTTCGTTTATTTTTGTCATAATTGTCTTCAAACACAGGTTAAAGTGTTCATACAAATCCCTTTTGCAGTACTGATACAGTTTCCCGCTCAAAATATACTTCCAGCTTTACTTTTTGCATAGAACAGCAAAATTAATCAAATCTTCCACCATTATTTTAATCAGATAGGAATCCCTAGTACTTATAGCTTTAACCAGAGACGTTTCCTGTTCGGGGTTGGCACATTTTGCTTCATTTTGGTCAACTTATGTGCACCAAACCAGTCGAGAGCGACAAGTTGCCGGTATTTAGATCGGTCTGTTGTTTAACATCTGCCTTAACTGAGTGCATTCAGGCGGTTTTCTAGTGATTAACTACAGAATCCAATGGGTAAGCTGAACAGAAAGGAAAGCTGAGAAATGGCTGAATCTTTCGGAGTCTGATTCAAGACAGTTTATAAACCTGTTTGTTCAGATACACTGATTTGTAAATGTTCCTCGTGCTGTGAAATAATGACTGTGATGTTTTTTTTGAGGAGGGAGTGAGTGCAAGGGAATTCGGTGCTCAAGGATGTCTGGGAAAGTGGTCTTAGCAACGGCCTGCTGATTTGGTAAGAAATACACAAACACACGAGGAAATTGTTGTTGATAAGAATCATTGTACACAAATGGTAGACGAACAGGCTTATGACAATCACTCGATAGTTTTAGAATTTATGGGTGATAATGTTTCGAGCTATTCGTTTCATGCACTAGTATTTGAGTAAATGTTATCTGAACTTCAGACAGCACATTCACGCCCACTCCTGGGTTCAAACTCACACCTGATTGGATACACTGGTTTTCATGAGTGAAGATGGGGTTTGAAGGACAGTCCGTTCAGATAAATAACTTTTGACCCACTGTGGCTTAAAAGCAATTGTTCTTTTTAACAAAAGGAAGACTGATTATAGTGAGGCGAAAAATAGTTTACTAGAGAATTTCATTTATAATTTAACAAAATGAAAAAAACAATCAAATTGCCATGAAAAATAACTCACCAAAAATTCTACATTTGATTATGCGAAACCTTTCTTTTGATAGCCCAATATACGAGATGTGATATATATACCGAGAACAACTGTGGACAGGATACCGTATAACATGGCCAGAACAATCCCGGCATGCATGCCGACATTGTAGTCCGCTGCGTCGTAACGGATATATCGATCCGGATCAGACAAGCCTTCCTCCAGGGTGACCATTTCAACCGAAACGAATAGAGTGAACCAGATCAAAACGAGGCGCCACATTCCGCGCATTGCTAGCTTTGTTTGTGTTCTTGGAATTTTACGGAATAATTTGGGAGGCTGTTACGGTTGATTAAATAGAATGGATGTCAGCCAATCATTGCTCATCTCAATTCTGATTGGTCAAACATTTTTAAAGTGGTCACTACTCACGCAACTCCAACCACCTCGATGCAATTCATTCTACCGAGCATTCCAGAGAATGACGACCGTGGATCATGATGTGGATTAGAAGAAGAAAATAAGCTAGCATCAGTTGGCCCTTCAGAAGGCATCAAACATTTGTCAGGTTAAGAATGTCCTCAGTCTTAAAAGTAACAAACTATGTTTTTATGGTCTGCAATATTTGACAGACGGGACCGAAGTCAGAGCTTTTAGTGCGTAAGTCTTTTGCAACAACAAAACAAAAGATCTGCTTTAAATACATAATGATTTAATTAAGATCATATTAAAATTCATCGTAATACTCAAAAGGAGATTATTGGGCAAAAACGCATCTTGGGTGATTTCAATATCATAATGCTAGAGCACCACTGGAGGCTAGAATTGCCTAAGCTGACGCATGCCACGCGTTCAGGTGGTGCGTTCTCCGCTATGCCATTTGTTCTAACTTTATCCTACAATTGCAAGTAAAGTAGAACACTCCAGGCAATGGTTGTGCACGATTATGCATGTTTAGCAAGTGATCAAGCCATGTGAGGTGATGTAATAAAGTTATAATCCAGAGTAATTGATTCCTTGAATCCTGACTTCCTCAGTATTTATCCAACACTGTCACCACACACGGATGATCGGCATAAGCAACGGGGCTCGAGGTCAAACATTCGGTAAATATAAGCTTTGCGAATGATTCATAATTCTCAGCTGTTTAACGGGAAGACATTGACATTAGTGGAGTAAATCTCTCCTTCCAATGAGAGGCCAAAACATCATGTGGATGCGGCATAGACAGCATCCTAGTGAAAGTATGGCAGGTTTTGAATATACACAATGAGGTCTCGTTTGCAATAGCTCCCCACTTAAGTGGAGCTCCGTAAAATTTTAAGTACTCCCTGTGGAGAGTAAATGTAGAAAATTTTATGGTTCAGCCTTTGATGAGTATTCTTCCCTTTTTTGAATCAAATTGCATAACACACTTTCGTGTTCCCATTAGCATAAGATCGAGAATTTTTGGACGACTTGATTCTCGTTTTCCGGTAAGATCATGTAATCAATACAGTCTAAATGAAGAACTGAATTACCTGAAAGAAGTTTGACTCAGTCATTTCCAAAGAAAACGTTTGAACAGAACCGGAGGAAGGAGTCACTCTCGTTTCACAGTATGTGCTGTATACTAACAGTGCACCGCGTAGGGCGCGTCAACATAACAAAAGCAGCGTGAAAATGAGATTTGAGGACTGTGTTTCTTCGATAAACTATGTCACAAGGAAATATAGCCGATATAATTGATTGCAGCTCAGATCACTGAAATAATGCTTCGGTTAGTCGTTGACAGATCTGTAATCTGGTGAACATTTGATGGAGCATCTGAATCTAAAAGCCGACTCTCTGTATGCAAAAATCTATTGACGCAACTAATGCAACCAAAGATGTGACTCATGAACTTAACGGTGACGTAAGTGAATTGTAAATCTCGGACAAGAAGTTTATGGTCTGGAGGTAAAATCCATTCGTTCACATGCCCACTCTTCCCTACATACCCAAAAATTGACAGTAAGAGATATTTCAAGTTAACTTGTGAATTTGTTTCCACATGCATGCGTGTTTGTATTGGAAGATTGTGAAATGAAACAGAATACATCTATTTGCGGACACCCAGTGTTCTTAACAAAGATGTTTGTATAAAGGTCCACCGTCTCAATGCCGACTTATCGAATACCTGCCTGTTTTCATATTTTGTAAAGTCCAACCAAATCGATTGCATTTTGAAGCCAGATAAAAGTTTAAACATTGTTCCGCATTCAAATGGGCAAACAGTCAATCTAACCAACTTATATCCCCGCAGAACGTGTGTTTCAAACCTAACACACCGCCCGATGTCTCACTCACTATGTGTGTCCCCAGACAGCGCCCTAATTACTGAGGCCCACCCATCCCCTTCCTGAAAGCTGCTATGCTGTTGTATACTCAGGAAGGAAAAAGATTATTATTTTCACTGTTATTGTCATTATTATTTTGACGAATTTTATTGGCTCTCTATTCACGGAAATAGGAATTCACATATTTAAGGAACGTAGGTAGAAACGGCAGCCAAGGTTGTCGCCAAAGCCCAAAAGCGGAACAATGGTTGTCGCATGAGTTCCGAGAATCCCCGTATATCAGTTATCCCTGTTATCAGATCGGACAAAGTAGGTCTCTTATCAATGTCAAAAACAAAGATCTCACACGAATATATATCCTCTATGAACACTGTCAACACACATCTTGTCTCACACTGCACCGTTAATTGTTTGTTTGCTTACTGGTTTAACTTTGATCCACACTGACAAACCCGAAAAAACTTGCAGTTTTCGTCAACTGAAGCACTTATCATCCGAGCAAAACAACTTCCCGGAAATTACCACACTGGTAAACCTCTTTCGGTTCACCTGGCGCATCAAGTAGAATGAGCAAACTATGGGAAAGGAAACGATTGCCTAGAGTCTTTTGGTTGACGCTATTCGTCGTTCAGACCACGAACTAGCTCTAAGGAATTGTAGACCTGTTTTTGGTGTAGTTAAACCTCATCATGAACCTTCGTGAACCCATTGACCCAAATGGAGCACTAACTCAGGATCTCGCGGTGGAATGCGACGGTTGCATGCTTGAGTACTACCTGTAAGGTTCACGATTTGAACCCAAACGGCTTAATGAGTTCGCATCGCTGCTTGTGCTTAACAATGTCGCAGCAGCAGCAGCAGCGGCACAGTCCTTTCTTCTATATCGGCTGGGGTTTCATTTGACTTGCAGATAAAGAAGCACGTCATATAATAAAGTTTAATAGTNATAGTAATCAAGTCGGAAGTGAAAGGTATGATAATTCTGGAATCACATGAAAACAAATTGCAGTAACTAGTGATTCAGGCATACCATTAAACTTCAGACGTCTTTCTTCTTTTCGAAAGCGTCGATGTTATCGTCAATCTATTCCAATATAACGTTGGAATGGATTAAAGGCCATACACAAATTTATAAAAAGGGCCATATTTGTGTTTGTCGGTAGGAGGGCAACCACGTTGTCTACATGTGCCATGATTTTGTTTATTATGATTGTCAGGTGACTTGATAGCACCAAGATAAGGCTTTTGAAATCAAGTTTCGTGTGAGATTTTGTGAGGAATGAAAGAGTATGTACTCATAAATCGCCAACTATTGATGCAACGACANGCAACGACATTTACTCGACTCAATCCGTCAGTGTACTTTCTCGAACCTTTGTAACAGAATGCGATAGAGCTGTGTTTACTTGTCCAGAGCAACACTTTCATCATCACCTACGGACATGCTTTTCGTTTCCCAAAACACTTTAATTTGTGAAGGTCTTGCACTTGCGTCAATGGACAAAATTAACTAATTTAAACTATGCGCTGTCCGACTCAACTAATGCCAGTTGATTGACTCACTCCACAACGGAGCAGAGAATCATTCACAATGGCCCTTAAAGTTCTCCTGCATATTACGAACACTCGAACACAAAACAAAACCGACCAAAATGGTTTCGCATGATCGTGGTGGAACATGTGGTTGGCGAATCGCAGCAACAGTTGCATTCTGTGATTTTATCGCTTAAAGTTGCAAAGAAATCTGACCATATCCTTCCTCCTTCTGTTGTTCACGTTAAACGAAGACGAAGAGCTAACTAATACCGGGGGTATAACCGGGTTTATGGATCACGGACAGTTTACCTAGCTAGATAGGTGAAACTTTATGGTCTATTAAGCGAACAGTTTACCGAATAAGCAGTAAAATTTCTTCAGGAATACGTCAAACATTAAAGCATTTAACAAAACAAAACAAAACAAGTTGAGGGCTTTTCAGCGCGTGGTATTGGTTAAATAGTTTGTGTCGAATATCTATTTACAGTTCTCTTTTCAACCACTTGGTTGTACTGTTGAATTTCTCTGAATACAATGGTTCTAACCCAAGCCTTTTGTATTTTTGACAAAAAACTTACCCCATTTCCGTTTCTCTCCCAAGAGCCAAATGAGACAGGTTGTAACTAATTCGACTTCATAACATAAACCGCCTTTCAATCTGATCTGTTAGCCATGATTCGTGACAAAAGCAATTAACTTGGGCTCGGATGAATGGAGCGTAAAAGTGTTTCCATGCCAATGAACAACCTTTCACCGTATCTGTTGGAGAAGTGGATTTCGGTGGGCAGGTTAATAGACAGACTCGCTTGTTGGTTGTTGTGACACGGTCGCTGGCTGATCACGATGAGAAAAAACAAATGGACTATGGCACAATCGGCCGGTGCTACACCACCGAGGACATATCTACAACACGTTGGTATCCAGGTGAAATATGTTCGCACAATCAATCATCTGTGCCTTTCGGAACGAGGACACTTATTTTGTTCAACAACATGGTCAACAGCTGTGTCTAATGCTTCGGGTTTTATAAAATTAGAGGATGACGCACTATTGAATTGTTCCTCTCAGCGAACTGCTCAAACCCGTCGAATCGTCAATTTCAGACGACAATTTTCACCCAAAAATTCCATAGCGAGTACCAGACGCACTTCACAATCGCTTGTTTCCTTGTCAGCCTCTAGCTTTGATTGAACGTTTGATAGCCTTTTAAACAAGCATGGAGACAGATCACAGTGTGGCAAGTTTCTTGGTGGCTTTTGCACGTCACAAATTCGCTTGATTGGATCATATTCTAGATATCGTTGTATTTGAAAATGAAAGGTAATCAATTAAATTTGGGAATTTCATCTCAGTCCAATTTTTGATCGTCCATAACATAGCTTGAATTTTGTCTTTTGAAGACAGCATGCGTTCTGCATTATCCGTTCCGTTTTCTTT